CCAGCTGTGTGTTGGCCCAACCCTACCTTCCCAGATCCAGCTGTGGATCAACCCTATGTGTCAGCCTAACTGGATGCTGATGTAGTCTAGCACACAGGGCCATGTCATCCAGCCCACAGGGTTCCCAAATGGTCCAGAAATTTGGCAGCAGGAAAGCAGCAATTAACACTACAACCACTTCCCCACCTCCAAATTTTCAGATCCGTGGGGAGACCAATGGGCTGGATGATACGGTCCCACAGGCTAGATCTGGCCTGCAGGACAGAGGTTGAACACCACTTACATGAAAGGTTCTATTTTCCTTTCATCCTGGAAAAATCCAATACTCCCTTTTTTTAAAGATATTTTTAAACAACTCCAAAAACTTCCACCCACCAAGTCTGTGTTAGAAAAGCTGCAACACTTATGTGTGACAAACAACAATGGTAAATGTCTTATGGAAGCTATTCTGTCTTTGGCATGCTTGTGTACATGTGCAAAGAGATTTAGCTATATAATTTTTTAGTTTTAATGGGTTACAAATTAAACCCTACTGTAATAATAGAAGAATAGCCTGACAAGTGGAGTTTTTGGGCTTTTTATATAAAACATGTATCTAATTTCTTTTCATGATGACCAACTGCAAATGTTCCAACAAGTATTGCTACTCAAAGTGGTGGCCTCTTACTCTTATGGACAATACTATACCATTTGGATTCATCCCATTATTCTATGTTTTACTTTTGGTAAGTCCTAAATACATTGAAATTCTATTAATACAAGATACAGTTATGAAACAAATGTAACAAAAGCAGTGCTACTAGGAAGGTGCCACACCAAAAAAGGTGTTTTTGTGTCTAAAACAGTAGACTATGACCGTGGATGGTGATTCATTTCTGCTGCTGCAAATTTCTATGAAATCAGCAGTGATAGAAATCTTCGTGAGAGAGGGTGTATAGCTTGGAGATGCCCCCTATCTCTTATCCCCTTTGCCTTACCCAGACCGGGGTTACCATGCCTCTCCAGTTCAGGAGGAATCGAGCAGTAGGAAAATGACACCACATCTTCCCCTGGTCTCAGGACGGCTTGATGGGATAGCAACAGCTCAACTCCTCCCCACTAGGGATGCTGCCAGGAAAATGTTGCTGTACTTCCCTAGACCCAGAGTCTCCCTGTTCTGGAAAAGGCACATGGGAAGCTGCTGCTTGACAACTCCCAATTACAAAGGAATCGAGCAGAGGTGTACAAGCCTTCATTTAAGTATGAGAAATTCACATGCAGGGGAAATCTTCCATGTGTCAGTCGGAGATCTTTCTTGCAGATGGGATATGGCTCCTCCCATAAGAAAATGAATGTCCGTACCCTGGGAAGTGGCATTTCTTTCTTTTGGAAATGAAATCCCTGTGCAAGACTTAGGACTTGAGAGCTGAAATTCTTATTTCTGCTATTGTCAGTATGTATGACATAGGGCACACAATGATATCCCTCTGCTTTACCTTATAAATGAGTAATGTTTCATATCTACTAACCTATTGTCCATTATGTCTTTTAGACTGTAGTAGGATTGGAGGATGGCCTTCGTCTTAACTATGGATAAAACTCATGGATCTAGAACTCAATGAAGCTTTGCCATAGACTTTATTTAGTCTAAAATTTTATCCTATATGTTTGTAATTATTAGCACAAAAGGAGTGCCCTTGTTTGGGGAGCCATAGGCAGTACTGTATGATTAATATCAGAGAGATGTAGTTAGCCATGTTAGTCTGAGGTCAAGTAAAAGGCAGGGTGGGTTTGCACCTTGTAGATAGGTACCTAATTAATTCAGTTTCATGGATTTCATGGAAACAGTGAAATCCAGGATTATCAGAAAAATCAACAAAAAAAACCAACCTTAATAAAAAATAAAATACTGGCTCTCCAAAGGGAGCCAGAAGTCCTTGCTGCCAGGAGGGGAAGGTGCCATCTGGTAGGGCAGCACAAATGGCAGCAGGCAAGATGGCTATAGCCCCTTGTCCCTCCTCCCATGCAGCGGCCTCTCCATCAATCAATACCAAGGGGCAGGGTCAAACAAAGGGCAGCCAGCAATAAAGATGACGGCCACCTCCTCATTCCTCCTCCCCCTTGGGGCTTCTTTGCCAATCAGTGCCAAGGGGCAGGGCTGCCATGAAATGACCACAGAATGAGAACTTTATGCTGTGATCAACCTATGGGAACTGGTAAATCCCCCCATAATTTAGGCAAATCCCTACTTATAGACTAGCCAAAGTAGGTATATCACAAGCTGTAGTGAGCTGAAGCTTACTTTATGAGATGCTGTGAAAGAACACACAGAAAGCAGAGTATAATAACCAGTCAGAGGGTAGCTAAGAGAAGGAAACTGAGCAGGAGTAGCAAATTTGTTCAGTATTTTTTGTTGAAATTATTGCAAGATATAAACCACCATTATGCTTTAGTATCAATAGGATTTGTTTTGTTTTTAAGCTTGAGAATAGATGGTGGCCAGCATAATTGTTTATAGTTTGTAAGTTCGATTTTCTGAAGAAAGTATGCATGGGGAGAAGAGACTGTGTAGTTTATATTTGCTCATATGGACAAAGGCCACATTTTTAAAGACACTTTCACCTTATATGTAAATTCCTTTGTTTCAGATAAATTACAGTAAAATAGTAAAGTTATTTTACTATTAATAGATAGTAAAGATAAAATTTTAAAGGTGACATCAGATTGACTCTGAATGGTCTCTCCCTTTTCTCAGGAGAAATTGTAGAAACATCATTGCATGAGTCATTTAAAACTAAACTGGACAAAGCAGTGGTAGATAATATACCATTATCTAATGGTCCTGCATTAGTAGGGGCCAGACTAGTAGATGCAGCAAGTCTTTTTAATCTCTTGTTTCTATGATTCGGTAGCAATTTTAATGTGACATAAGATATCCAGCACTTCCAAAATGGCTGAGCACTGGTTCTACATCATTTCAGCTGGAACAATATTATGCAGCTCTTCTTCAAATTACACAAGAATATAAAGATGTGAGCAGCAGAAATGTTAAGGGACTAGCATGCATAACAGTGCTGACAGTCTAAGTTAGAAGTTCCTATTGTTAAAACTGTCAAGTGAAGATGTCTCAAATCCTGTCACTAACAGAATTGCTCAGCTAATCACAATCTTTCATTATGCTAATATATCATTTCTGAATTATACCATATATTGGTGATTCACTGCAGTTTCACAAATTGAGACAACTAACACAAAGTATTATTAAATTAAGATTTAAAGAAAGTATCTACAATATAGGCGCTTAGTGACTACTCTAAAATAAGCCTCTAAATTTGAGCTTGCTTTACAGTGGGGCAGATGCAATGAACTGCAATGACCATGAACAGCTTCCTCTTTAAAAAAAAAAGTGGAACACAAAGCCTGATCCAAAGCCCATTGAAATCAAATTAAAATCCTCCTCTTTACCCCAGTGGACTTTTGAAAAAACCTACTGTGCACATAAATGATAGGTACTGCCCGTACTGTGCTGACAGTGGTATATTCCCTGTAGATGCTATGCAATCTCTCTCACATATCTCAGTCCTGATCTGCCACACATCTGTACTCTGCTCCTGAGCAGAGACTATCAAGTGATATAAGCTGTGAGAAAAATAACTAATGGCTTTATGTTTGGATGGAAATAGGGATTAGTAATCAGACATATTCAGACACATTGATTTTACTTCAAGAATTATGATAGAATTCAAACTTAAATTTTCTTCACTGGATTCACGCCCTTTCCTACCACTTCCTACAGACAAAACGCAATACTTGATGGGTTAAGAAAATTTATCTTATATAAGAATAGAATAATAGTATATACACACACACACACGCGCATATATACACATACACACGTGTGAGTGAATGTATCCTATTATTCTATTCTTGTATCTCTAGAATAAGTTTTCTTTTCATTCAATTAGTCTACAAGGGACAAATCTAGCCTGCCTTCTGCCTGATTGCAGACTAACACAGCT